TGTCAGGAGATTGGCTCGGCCAGGGCAACTTCTGGATACTATTTTCTTCCTGCCACTTTTGGGAAGGAAGTAAGTGGACGACCTTTACTTTGTCAAAAAGATAACCACTGGTATCTAGCGGGAATTGGAAGTCATGAAGTTACCTGTGAAGATTATTCCATGCCTCGCATATTTCAAAGAATAGAAATGCATACACAATGGATAAGACACACAATCGAATCCCTTCGGACGACATGAGCTGAGAGATGTTTTGTATTAAAAAGTGACCTCACTACCGACATGACCAAAGGTCTTCGTAAATTCTCCCCATAATCTGCCTTCGTAAATATCTTAATAATTGAAATCGTACTTATATTAAGACTCATTTCCACATGGTTTAGTTTCTTTTCTTAGTTCAGTATATCATTGATGATAAAATAACTTACTCCAAAAATAACAAAAAAAAACATATAGGAAAATGTCTGCTTTTTATTGTTTTTTTTTTTATGTAAGAAATGCATATTTTTCATAAAAAAGAGGTTTAGTAATCATTTATGTAAAGTTGTATGTATATTTTGTATGAATATAATTTGATATGTGGATCACATTTACGTTATTTACGTTTGTACATGAATATATAAATAAACTATAAATAATTTAGTTCATCGATAATGGTTACGCTCCATGCTGATACATTTCACAAATAAACGTGCAAACATAAAAGGAGATATTTAATTACTCGATTAAAAACCCATAAATAAAATCTAGAAGGAAAGTTTGAAGAATTTCATAAAATTTCCTTCTATGTTCTCCGTTGTTAGTTTGATACCGCCTTGAGAGTGAATCTTCAATGAGTTGATGACAGTATTTATACTAGTAATAAAAAATATTCTAAAGTTGATGGGATAGAAAAAAATCAGAAGCTAGAGAGTATTCGGGATGGGAGGAAAAATCTGCATTATCCATTCCTGGATTCCACCACTCATATATGTATATACGTTAGGTGGTGGAATGCAGGAATGGGTAATGCAGGTTTTTCTCCCATTCCAAATGCTCTCTGGTTTCTGATCTTTTTCCGTCCCTACATCCCAACAATTTTAGAATAAAATGTTTGATATTAGTTTTTACGAGTCGAAGTTTTGGCTTCCAGTGGAGTTGTAACTTCTAGGTGGAAGGCACCATTTCACCATCTTATTCAGTTCTATTCTATAGAGAGACATAATATAATCTATAAACGTTACTTCTTGAAGCAAGATAAGTTATTAACAAGATACAGCGCGGCGCGTTAAGGAGTATACGGTAGATTATCTACTTCCAAATAACGCACATAATGGCTTACTGACCATAGACCGTAACTAACCTAGCATGGATCACTTGTTGCTCTAGGTATGAAAAGGCACATCCTAGGGAGTAGGCTACACCGTGGTTTACGAGTTACAGCTGGCGGAAAAGAAGAAAAAATCACTGTTTTTGCAGCCCGTTTTCTAGAAGTCAAGGAAGGTTAGCCTAACTTTGGAGACATTTTTGTACTTGATTAATGAAAGGCTTTTCGTCTCTATCCCTTTGGCTAGGTTGTGCTGACGTCCTGGCGTATGCGCTACTATATGCAATGTACACAGCGTGGTCACAAGTAAATAGACACCTAATTTTTCGTCATTTAACTGATTAATGCTAACTAATTTGTGTTCACAGAGCACTT